CCAGAAAGTTTTGAAACCATTGTGCCCATGAAAATAACGTGTGCTTTGAAAATGTCATAGATGTGATGAAGCTGGTACAGTTTCATATAGAAAACTTTACAAACGATGAAATGATGCAGCTGGAACAAGAACGAGATGTGGAAGAGGAGGGGAAAAGCGAGGAAGCTCCACCCAACCCACATCAGTTGAATACAAAGCATATGTCTGAAGCTTTTTCACATTTTTCACATTACTGATAATGATCCAAACCATGAACGTAGCCATAAGTTTCTAGAAGGGTAAACAGTGATATCCACTGCTACAAATAGTTGTATATAGAAGAAGAAAGTTGCTCAAAGCAGCTATCTTTGGATATATTTCTTAGGAAAAAGTCCCTCCAGTAGTCAAATAACCAAGATGTAGAGTGGGCCTTCAATGGTAACACTGCCGGCAACTAAAAAAGATGATTCTGAGGGTAGATAAAACAGACGAATCTACAGCCCCACCTTCTCCCAGTAACTCCCCCACATCTCCCTGCAAAAACCACCTCGCACAGTGATAACCAGCTTGTAGTAACTGTTAAAAATATTATTACCCATCATTATTTTTATTTCTACACTTTACTTTTAGTAATATTAACATTTTTATCATAACATTATCATACTTATGTTAAATATCTGTTTAAAACAAGTTTTTCTATCTTTGAAAGTGTTTTTATTTGGTTTTGAGACTGAAATGTTTTCCATAGGAAAAACGGGTTTGCTATTTCTTTATATGAACAACATTTCAAGAACACATCTATTCTGTATATCGAGGGATGGGTGTACTTATTCTGAATTTATCCTTTATTATGAATATATACAGGCTTCACATAACACATGGTCAAGAAAGCCATTAAGTTAATATAATTTTAGCTAGCATTGTTTCTTTGTCATTTTCTAGGAGATAATAATACTTTATCTGTGCATGAGAGTAGGTAAGTCTTTAATGCTGTATGTTGTGCAAGAAAGTCCAAATATAGTATTCTTCAATAGTAGTTTAAGTGGTTTCTCGAGGTTAAGGCCTCTCTTATGCTTTAATACAAATCATCAGCCATATGAGTATTGCTAGTCATTGTGTAACTTCAAGATCCCTTGTAAAGTAAGGAACATTTGATTTAAACAATCCAGTACACATTCTTGAAGAGTAAGCGGTTTGAAGAAAGATCCAGTAAAAGCAACCACTCACGTTTAAGAATAGCACTTTATAAATCAATAAAAAATTGTTAATTTTGCGCATTACCTTTCCAGTCTCTTGTATATTCAGACTCAGTTATTCAGAGGTTTAGCAATATTCCATAATAAATATTTTGGTCGAATCTCTAGTTGACCTATACTATCACTTAGACAATTAGTGGAAGTACGAAGAGCAGACGATTATTGGAAGTTCAGGATACAATTGCGGTAACTCACGCGACAGCATAAGTGAATTTTACATGAATACTATTGTGGTAAAAATAGAGGAAAATAGTTCAGCTTGTCAACTGAATTCTAATGCAATTGAATTGGCCTAAGTGGACTTTTGACAAGAAGAAGAGAACTATATAGTGTTTAAGGTACAACTATGATCTCCATGGTGTAAGAAATTTTGTACATACACTTAACTTGTTTCGAATACATATATTATTTTAAAAACAAGTGTAGTGCGTATTGTTCGCTTATTGTCGAATTTATCGCCACAAGTCACAGACAGCTACTGTAGAAGAATCCTTAGCCCAACACACCCATATATTTACATTACTATATATATACAACTAAAAATTAAGTTTCTTTTATATCTGACACACAAGGGTAAGTTTTAACTAGCTCTCTTACAGCACTATAATAAGCTGTCTTGGGTAGCTTATTACTTTATAAATAGATTTGTGTGATACATTTACATTTTATATTCATGTTACATCATATATATAGAACAATAAAAATGTTTATGACACTGAATCAATTTCTATAACATTAATAAATTAAGTTGTGCAAGCATATTTCTATTGTAATATATGAGTTTGAGTCCCAAATTAGCATATAATTCTGAAAATAGCTAAAAATTGAATTGCTGGTTTCCAAATTTCAGGATATAAAAGTAGATATAAATTCATAATTAAATAATTAATAGCATTTAAATAAACAATTCATATAATAATGATGTAGTATTTCATTTTACATTTATGGATTAACCAACAAATAATCATAGAGCACATTGATGATTGTCCTTCACAATGAATTTTTTCTAAAAAGAAAGGAATTAGCCACATCAGAAGGGAAAGCTGTCAGCTTAAAAACCTAGCTTTTCTATTTGAAACTGACTATCTACGCCAATGCCGTTGTTCAAAAGAAGAAAAATCTAACACAATTACCACTAAAACATTTTTAAAACTTTATTTACATACTTTATAATGTTTATTTATCATAGCCTAAATTCCTGTACAATGAATCAAATTATCAATTATAAGTCTGACCATTTTTCATAATATAACATACACTAAACAGTAATCATGGGGAGAAACTACAGCAAGAAAACACGAAGAAAAGATAAAAAAAAACAACGAAAAATACAGTAATACGAACATCTTAAAAAAT